TTTATAGAGGAATGATAGGTTCTCTACTTTACCTAACAGCTAGTAGACCTGACATTGTGTTTTCTGTTGGTTTGTGTGCTAGGTTTCAAAGCAATCCAAAGGAATCTCACTTGAAGGCTGTTAGAAGGATACTTAGGTATCTTGTAGGAACAGCAAATCTGGGATTGTGGTACCCCAAAGGCAGTACCATTGATCTTATTGGATACACAGATGCAGATTATGCTGGTTTCTTAGTTGATAGAAAGAGCACATCAGGTATGGCACACTTTCTTGGCTCTTGTCTAATTTCATGGGGTTCTAAAAAGCAAAATTCAGTGGCCCTATCCACGGCAGAGTCTGAATATATAGCTGCAGCTTCATGCTGTTCCCAGCTACTGTGGATAAGGAACCAGCTGAAAGATTTTGGTGTTATTTATAAAAGTGTTCCTATTTTCTGTGATAACACTAGTGCAATCAATATTTCAAAGAATCCTGTGCAACACTCCAAGACAAAACACATTGAAATAAGACACCATTTTTTAAGAGACAATGTGGAAAAAGGATTGGTGGAGATGTTGTTTTGTAAAAGTGAAGATCAAATTGCTGATATCTTCACAAAGCCTTTGTGTAGAGAGTCTTTTTGTAGGTTAAGAGTCCTTTTAGGTCTAGTTAGATTTTAGGTATTGGCTTCAATTACTTCCTTCAATGATTGGTTAGAATGGTATTCTCTTGTATAGTGTGTGTACATACTTATGTTGATATCTTTCAAGTGTTGTGTAGATGGTTCAAAATCTCAAAAGGATTGAGAATCATTGTTGTAAGAAACAGGTGAAATCAGGCTGAATTGCCAGAAACAGCGTGACATGGTTCTATACAGGTACCAGCAAAGGGAAACAGCAGACCAGCTCTGATATGTCATCCGATAATATCTTTTATTTTCGGAAGATTACTATAAGATATTTCCTTTTGGAAGGAATTTATCTTATTTCAGTTATTTAATCCCATATAAAAGGCAAACATATCATATGCCTTATTTATAGTTGGTTGAGATAATTATGGTAAAAGATAATTACCAAATTTTTGATTTCAATTTAAAAATATCCTTTACAGTTGCTTTTTATTGGCTCAACTAACTCTTTTCTTTCCTTCTTCTCTCTTTGTGCTTCATTGTTAAAATATACACTAACCCTTTGTGCAGATCATCAATCATCATCACTCGAAATTCTCTTTCTCTCTCTCGTATGCTTTAAATTCATCATTGTTCATTCGGTTACTGTTCACTCAAGGAACCAGCTCAGTCTCAGGGGGAACATCAGAAGGAAGCATAAATGTCCTTAAGCCCGAAGTTGGAGGAAATTCAGAAAAGTCAAAGTGAAAAGGATGAAATAGAGGTTGTTGGTTATTATGAGGAGACACCCACTGCTAAGACCATGGTACGAAGTAGAGTAACTCAATTAAAGAAGTTCACTGAGAAGGTGCAGGAGGAACAGTCCATTGACGCTGTTCCAGGAACCAAGAGAAAAAGGGTACCAGCAAGAACCTCTTTGCTTGATTGATGTGATGCTAGTTTTGCACTCGTTATGCAACAAGGAGAACAGTTTTGCACTCGTTATGCAACAAGGAGAACATTCTGAATCAGTACATATCTCTCATGCTTTCTTTAAAAAAATAAAAAATAAAAAAAATAAAAAAAAAAATAAATAAAAAAATAAAAAATAAAAAAATAAAAATAAAAAAATAAAAAAATAAAAAAAAATAGAGGAACCAGCAGGTCAGGAAGTGGTTTTGAAACAGATTGGGGAATCACAAGAATATGCTTAGTAATATAATGATTTTGGTTTAAGCAGAGCATGGTGACAAGGATGAAGAGGAATCAGATGATAATACAGAAGATGTTGCAAAGTTCGAGGAGGAGGAAGGGAACGAGAATGATGATGAGGAGTGATGCTGTTTCTGTTCTTGTTTTCCTCATCCTCATGTTTATTCTTAAATAACTGATTTTGTTGGTCTGTCTACTTCTCTCCATTCCATGAACTTTCTTTTTGGATGGATTTGGGCTTCCTTGGTTGAACTTTGTTGGCTTGTATGAATACTAACTCTGCTATGGTATGAACTGTTTGACTAATCTCTTTTTGCAGCATAATGCTTGAATGGTGGTTGATGCCATTGTATGGATAAGCACATTAACTTGTGCACATTGCTTTTACTTGTGGATACTTTTTAATGATGCCAAAAGGGGGAAGTAGTCTGAAGTTGAAGCCTAAGGTTTAGCTAGTTTAGATTGAGTCAGTTTGAGTCTTTTTATTTCGTATTTTCTATTTTCTGTTTAGGGAACCAGTTGGCCTAACTGACTTGTTCCAAAGAGTCTTGAGTCCTTGAAGTTTTTGACGGTTTTCCTTTTGAGCATGTTCACAGGTTCAGGAACTTCAAAAGTTTGTCATCATCAAAAAGGGGGAATTTGTTGAGTCCCTTAGGTTTTGATTGATAGTTTTGAATGATGACAAACAGCTAAGGGAAACAGGTCCTTGAAAGTGTTCGATACAGTTAGGGGAACCAGCTAACATAGAACACTGTTTCCCCAGACAAGTTATTACTTACATGAGTTTTCTTATTGAACTAACTTGTCTTTATACAGGGAACAGTTATATGATAAAAGTGTTATGTACTGGTAGGGAACCAGTATGTAATGTTTCCATGGTTGCTACGTGGTAAAGCAGTCACATACTCTTTATTGTGCATTAACCATGTTACATGTGCAGTAGTTGAGTTGATTCCAAGACTTGGAGCATAGAAGCCTTTCGAAGATATTTCGAAGAAAGATTGTTTGCTCATAATAGAAGTATTCAAGGAAGATTCAAGTCTTGAAGATTACATGAAGAAAAGACGATTTATGCTTTAATATGTTATCTAGGTTTTCATGTAATATGCTCCGTAGTATGCTTGCATGTTTGGGTTATATAAGTGCTTAAAAGTATATTGAAGTATGATATGAAATCTGGTACAAAGTTGGAACAGGTTTCATAACATGTTTCAATTCAGGGAACCAGGTCGGGGAACCAGGTTCACTGTATTCGAGCTGCCGTTTTGGAAAAAGATTTTACAAAAAGATTTTTTCGAAAAGATTATCTTGAAAATATTTTGTGCAGCTGGAAATAAGATGAAATATTCTTGGTTACCTAAAATCTAGGAGTATTTATCTTAATTGATTCTATCTTTGTGATTAAATCAAATAAGATAAAAACTTTCCTAAAATTACATTATATCTTATTCTCTAAGATTGTGTGATTTAAGGAAACTAGGTTTTAGGAATCTAAGCTTATATAAACTCATCTTATTTCACATATTTCGTGTGCCTCTCCAGAAATTAAAAGAGCAATTATTTGAGAGCATATACTTAAGCACTAATCCCATTCATCAAGTCATATACAAGAGCATTCTAGTACTTAAACGTTTTCTCTTAATTAGCTTCGTAGAAGTGAGATCAAAGGGGAGTTCTTGATTCTTGTATTGAGTCTTTAACAAAGGGGTTAAAGGCTGGGTGAGTGTTTGTGAGTTCAAACATATTGGGCTTACGAGTGTAAGTTGAGAGCACACTCGGAGTAGAGTGTGGGGTTTGCTGGTTCCCGGAGTAGGGAACAGCAGAGTGTTCTTTGTCTTTGTTTTTCGGAGTAGATTAATAAAGAACTTAGGATAGGAGGACGTAGGCCTGAGTTGGCTGAACCTCGTTAAATTTGTTGTGTTCTTTATTGCTTTGTTTTATTTCGTTAAATTTGTTGTCTTCTTTATTGCTTATTTATTTTCCGCTGCGTACGGGAACCAGCACAACTGGTTCCTCACACATAATCCGAAAAGAAGCAAAATTAGCCAACGATTACTTAACACTCAATTCACCCCCCCCCCTCTTGAGTGCCCATTAAACCTTCACTTAGTCTAAAAAGTAAAAATAGTGGCCATAATTATTTGCAAATAGTTTTATGCAATTTTATGAACAAACTCAATTATTATTACATACGGAGTATTATAGAGTCCCTCTCACGCTTCTCCATATAAATCATTTCCTTTGTTTGTTTTAATTATTTGAGTACAAGTAATTGGACATAGGGCACGAAGCTTCCGTGAACTATCTAGTGTGATCTTATTATGTCCATATTCCTATGGTTAAGGCTTTCACCTTTCAAAGATGCTACACCTCCAAATTCCAAAATAGGGAAGTTTACAAGCAAAAGTTTCTGCGCTTAAAACTTGTATCTTTGGGAAGACACCTTTACACACCCCATTGATCTCCATTAAAGCATCGCATAAGCAAGTACTAATTCTTACAGAATACTCGGTAAATACTATAAGGGTGCATGTTAAACATAACCTCTCCAACATCAAAAAGAAGATATCAAGTTAAGTTTTGGAAGATTACAAATTGGGTTTGGATAACAAAGCAATAAGAGTTATCTTTAGGAAATTTTGTAGTATACCAACCACAAATAACCCACTTTTTGAAATTACCACCGAAAAAACATTATTTTAAAATATCACCAAAAAAATAATGTATATGTATATATATTCATCACCAAAATCGTTAAATCTAACGGTTTTAAAAAATTTCTTCGATTTTTGTGTCAAAAACATGTTGTTTAGAGGTTTTGGAGTCATTTTTGCTCATAGAAACCTATTTAAGGTCAAAATTGACAAGTAATTATAAAAAATGCCTCATTTTGCTTGTCACGCAAACTAAAGTATTTTTTAGTACGCAAAACGAGGCATTTTCAATTATTTTTTATAAATTTTGACTTCAAATCGTTCTTAAAACATAAAAATGACCCCAAAACATCCAAAAAGTACGTTTTTGGCACGAAAATCGAAGAAAATTCTGTAAATCGTTAGATTTAACGGTTTTTTTAACGAAAAGTGTTAAATGGTGGTGAAATCTAATTTTTTTTGTTTTATTTGAGTGGTAATTTCAAAAAGTGGGTTATTTGTAAAAAAAACAAAAAAAACAAAAAAAAAAACTTATTTTTATTGTACTATATCAATTTATGCTTGTCCCACTTTTTACATAAAAAATCGAAAAAAACATTCACTAATCCACTTATTTCATGTCCAATTTATGTCCTAGTAAATCATTTTTTATCAATTACTCCATAAAATTTTATACAAAATACATGTGATATCCCTCAAAAAGCAAAGAAAATATCAAGCGCACAATAAAACAAAGCAACAATTTTAAATAATGTGATTCTAACCTGTCAAGAATCAAGATCCAAATCCATCAAAAAAAAAAATCAGGATCCAAATACCCAATCCCCCATCCTCGTTTCCAGAATCTCCACAACTATAATAAGTAATCCACTTATTTCATCCACCAAATAAAATTTAAAAAAAATAAAAGTTCGAAATGGCTAATTTCTCTCTCATCCTTTTCCTCTCTTTCTCTCTCTTCATTTCACTCACCCAATCAAAATCCACCTACATAATCCACGTGTCAAACTCCCATAAGCCCACCACCTTCTCCTCCCCAAAAGACTGGTACTCCTCAATCCTCCACTCTCTCTCCTCCTCCACCACCACCACCACCCCACCACACCTACTCTACTCCTATTCTCACTCCTCAACGGGCTTTGCGGCCCATCTCTCCGAGGCCCAAGCGGCCCACCTCCGCCGCCACCCCGCCGTCTTATCCATTACCCCTGATCGGGCCCACCAGATCCATACCACCCGTACTCCTCACTTCTTGGGCCTCCATGATGAATCTGGGCTCTGGCCCAATTCTGATTACGCTTCTGACGTCATCATCGGGGTGTTGGATACCGGTATTTGGCCTGAGCTACCTAGTTTCTCCGATGATGGGTATGGTCACGTGCCTTCCACGTGGAAAGGTTCTTGTGATGTGGGCCCCGAATTTCCCGCCGGTTCTTGTAATCGGAAAATCATCGGTGCTCGTGCTTTTTACAAAGGGTATGTTTTTTATTCGCTCGATAATTATATTGGATCAAAGCATTGACTTATTTTTTTATTGTGCATAAATTTTAATTTGATTTTTGGCTGACTAATATAATTGATTGGAATTACAATGTCTTATGATCATAAATTACTTGTAAAATGCACTCTTGTAATGATATGGGGTTGTATATTGGTATGTAAGTCACCATTGATCGATGTTATTAATATTTAGGTGATGCATAATTTTCTATTTTAGTTTCATATAGTTAGCCTTTACACCAACATTATATCATTTCCACAATCATATGCTCAATTAGTGTTAGTAATGTATAGCTAATGCATAAATTTTTAATTATAGCTTCTTATAATTAGCCCTTACAACAACATATATCATTTCGGTAATCATATTCTCGATTAGTGCTATTAATGTTTAGCTAATGCATTACTTTTCTATTTTAGCTTAGCCCTTTCGACAAGTTATGTCATTTCCGTAGTATATGCTCTGTTAGTTTGAAATTTAGTAATAGCTTGAGCATTGATGAAGATATATAATCATTGGTAGGTATGAGGCGTCCAAAGGACCAATGAATGAAACAAAAGAATCAAAATCACCTCGAGACACTGAGGGGCATGGGACTCATACAGCCTCAACAGCTGCTGGATCAGTGGTTCCGAATGCAGGACTATTCGAGTATGCTCGAGGAGAGGCTCGAGGGATGGCAATCAAGGCTCGCATTGCTGCCTACAAGATCTGTTGGAAGACTGGTTGCTATGATTCTGACATCTTGGCTGCCATGGACCAGGCTATTGAGGATGGAGTCCATGTGATTTCGCTTTCTGTAGGATCTTCAGGGTTGGCTCCTAACTTTGACGATGATAGCATTGCTATTGGTGCGCTACATGCTGCCCAAAGTAGGGTTGTGGTGTCTTGTTCAGCTGGGAATTCTGGGCCTAATCCTTTTACTGCAACGAATATTGCACCGTGGATTTTGACTGTTGGAGCATCCACCATTGATAGGGATTTCCCTGCAGATGTAGTGTTAGGAGATGGGAGGATTTTTAAGGGAGTGTCTTTGTATTATGGAGATGGTTTGAATGACAGTGTCAATTTGGAGTTGGTTAGAGGTGAAGATTGTGGCAGTAGACTTTGCAAAGCAGGTACTTGTTATTCCTTGCATTCAAATTTAGTTCTGGCTGTTTTTGGATTATGTTGTTTGAATGTTTGGTTAATTATTCACATTATTCCTAGGTATCCCTTGTTTAAATACAACAATGCAAGATCTTTAACAAAACCAAGCTAAACGTGATATCTATACTGTCTTTTCACGTACTTTCCATTCATAACTTTTGAGTATACACGGCTATAAATGTTCTTTGCTGAATGCGATTTCCTTCAAATTTTGTTGATGATCCATGTTTAACCTGAGATTCTTGATGTGATTTTGTCTGAATTTGTCTGAAAGGAGTGAAACTAGAGTGAGTTCAGCTGATTATGCCAAGCCCATAAGTATTGTATCGAATAGATATTATTAGGGAATCATTGTCTATGGTTAATTTATAAGCCAAAATTTTGGTTGAATGTTAGTGTTAATGCTTGGCTATGTTTTGTGAATTTCCTCAGGTGAACTTGATTCTTCAAAAGCAGCAGGAAGAATGGTTATATGTGACCGAGGAGATACTGCTCGAGTTGCCAAGGGTGATGCTGTTAAGCAAGTTGGAGGTGCTGGAATGATTCTGGCGAACACAGCTGAAAATGGTGAAGAACTAATAGCTGATTCACATTTGATCCCTGCTACTATGGTGGGTCAAACTGCTGGGGACCAAATCAGGGACTATGTTTCTTCGGCCCCTAATCCAACAGCCACAATCAGGTTCAGAGGGACTGTGATTGGCCCCTCACCTTCAGCCCCTAGAGTGGCAGCTTTCTCTAGCCGAGGACCCAGCCATCTAACACCCGAAATCCTCAAGCCTGATGTCATAGCCCCTGGTGTTAACATCTTGGCTGGTTGGACCGGGGCTTCTGCACCCACAGACTTGGAGATTGACCCAAGGAGGGTTAAATTCAATATCATCTCAGGCACTTCTATGTCATGCCCTCACGTAAGTGGGTTGGCTGCTCTGCTCCGAAATGCACACCCTAGTTGGAGTCCTGCAGCTGTGAAGTCTGCCCTTATGACCACAGCTTACTACCTCGACAACTCTGGGAAGAACTTTACAGATCTTGCCACAGGAGAGCAATCCTCGCCATTTGTTCACGGATCAGGTCATGTCGACCCAAACAGGGCTCTCAACCCTGGGCTAGTCTATGACATCGATGCTAGTGACTACATTGCCTTTTTATGTGCCATTGGATACGACTCTAAGAAGGTTGCCATTTTCCTCAAAGAACCAGCTACTATTGATTGTGAAGCAAAGAAGTTGTCTACCCACGGTAATCTGAATTATCCTTCATTCGCAGTTATGTTTGAATCTGTTAAGAGTGTGGTGAAATACACTAGAGTGGTGAAAAATGTTGGAAGCTCTGCTGATGCAGTTTATGAAGTTACTGTGAATGCCCCTCCAAATGTAGATGTCTCTGTTTCTCCTAGTAAGCTCGAGTTCAGTGCTGAGAAACAAACACTATCTTATGAGATAACTTTCACAAGCACTAGTGGAACTTATCTAACTGGTGAACCAATCTTGGGAACATCAAGTTTTGGGTCGATTGAGTGGAGTGATGGAAGTCATCACGTTAGAAGTCCCATTGCAGTGAGATGGATCGAGGGTACTCAGCAACATTTCATTGCTTCAATTTGAGTTCAGCTCTATAAAATTGCTGTATATGGTGCAGGGTATTTGCTGAACATTTGAGGTGGTTCATTCTTATGTTCAAAAGCTTCTTCATACATGTATGCGCCTTGATGTACATTATTGAGCCTGCACCGCTCTTCATTTCTGTACTGTAAACATTCTTTTCCTTTGTATATTGTTAGTTACTGTTACACATCTGATTACTGAACTTGCTTACTGTGAAGTGTGAATTCCATCTCTGTTAATACAGAACCGGGTTTTGGATATGCACTTTAAGCATTGTGAAATATGAGAAATAATCTTGAAATGTTACGTAACATCAAAACTTTACACTCTTTGGAGTTCTTATGAGATTACATGTCTAGCAAACTGTTGAGAGTAAAATATGTCCCATTGTATAGAGAAGGAGCCACAAAAGGAACCACACGTAGATAAAGGTTAGGAGAAGGCGCCCTACTAACCTAAAACTTAACACAAGTCAATTTGGTCTAAGTTAGAACCCAAGGTCCCTTGAGAGTGGGCGGGAAAATTAAGGAAATCCGCACCCATAAAGTGCTCTTAATATTTGGTATAGACGAGTATCAGCATGATGAGAAACTCTATTCTGAAAAGCTGTTTTGAACAAACACAATTTGCAAGACTAAGCCCAATTGGATACCACAGGCCAGAAGGTCCATTATATTTTAACTTACCAAGTCAGTTAACAAAGTTTAGGCTTTAAAGCTTTCTCTGCTTTCATGGTTATCACTCGTAGCAGAGGCCACTTCCTTGGATTGGGTGTATGGTTCGGATTTGAATTGGTTATGAACAATTGGAAGGACTTACAAACATTAATTTACGCCGTATTCCATTTCTTTTTTCAAGAAAATGCTAATCTTAGCCCCAAATACACAATATTAAGCATTTGATATCACTTTAACGATGAGTAATTTCATTTTAGAAAGTACATTATTTACTATTTCGTGTATATTTATATCGCTAGCAATGAGTAACAACTCATTTGGTAGGTTGAAACGGTGATTACCGATGAATTTATAAATAGTTATTTTATAAGGAAAGTCTTTATCATAACGATGCCCATGAGGACATAATAAATATATTAATTATTTATACTCTGTATAAATAATTTTACACTATGCATTCCTGTGACGTATATTAATTCCACTACTATTACTAATTACGTAAACAAATCATTAAAGATTTCTATTTTAACTTGAAACATCAACAACATGATGCATAAAGCTAGCTTATGTCAATGAAATCGACATATAATTTTGTAAAATGACTCTTTTAATTCCAATTGTGCAAGAGTACGTTTTAACATGAATAAGCCAAGAACAAATGATGTAAAAAATTTGAAAATCTATTTGGCAAAGCATATATTATAAATTTATAATGCAAGCTGTTACTTGTTACTTTTAACGATTAAACATGCAAATAATAAAGAAATTTGAGATATTTTATAAAATGATTTGTAATTTTTAGCAGATAAGATAAGACTTGGACACGTGAGGTGCCACAATTCAAGTTGCGAAAAGAATAAAAACTCCACTACTTTTTTTTTTTTTTTTTGGTTTAAAGCTTCTTTAAATGATTGTTTTCATAAGAAAAAGGGGAATTTAGTTTATTTGTTTGGTCATATTCGATATGTTTTAACAATTAAATACAAGTTGGCATGGTATCATTCGTATCAATCATTGATCGTTAATCTAATCACTCTTAATGATGGGAGAAAATGATGTACACAAATAATCAAAAGAATGATAACAACATGCAATACTGCTTTTAAACAAAAAAAATTATAGTGTGAATGATTGTAGCCGTTAAGATGTAAAAATGGTGAGCTATTTTTAATTACGTACACTTACATTACTTGGGTGATTGATCGTGATTGATCTTACTCTAATACTCTGTATACGTGTGTTGTACTATTATTGTACTATTATTAAGATTGGGTGTTGGAGAGAGTAAGTACCTCCTAATTGTTTCAAATGCAATATCTTTGCTAGTATTTAAGATGAAGAGAGTATATATAAATCATGAATAATTTTTAGTCTTTCTCACATATAATTTTCTGAATATAGTCTCCGATCCATACACTAACCGCTAATTTATGTGATCACGTTGATAACATGAAGTGACCCTAGACAAAACTAGTCTTAATTAGTTTGATTTGACTCAGCAAAAAACAGTGACCTAATAATAATCAATGAGTTAATACATAGATTTGTGGCTGAATTGAAGACTTATGATTGAATTATTGTGGTTAAATCAATCATACTGATTAGGTAAAGTACTTGCCGGTGAAGGCAAAGATGAAAACAACTTGTACCGTTGTTGTTTTAACTTGCGACTTGAAGTGATATATATAATTTGTTGTTTTCTTTGCAAAAAAAAAAAAAAAAAAAAAAAAAAAGTCATTTTCATGGAAATTGACAAAATCAGAATAAGTCATTATAAGTGAACTACTTTTCACATTATTATCCCCTAAAATGAAGTTAATTAACATAAGAAATTATATCTTTTGGGATTATTATGCATGATCGTGCTAGTATTAAGTAAGGAATATAATAAATTAGTGATAATAATCATAATATAAACACTCCGAAAATAGTTATTAGTAGATTAGTGTGTGTGTTTTCTTAATTACGTAAAAACAGATTTTACAAATTGTCAACGGATTATACATTAAGCATCGAGGTCAGGGTGAAATAAAAATCCTTAAATTTAAAGGTACTCGATGAAAAGTGTCCAAAACAAACATCATTATAAGAAAAATAAGCTAAGGATTGTCTCAAAAGTGGTAGAGACACGGGAACGAAAAATCAAAGATCGTGAAGCGATAATGGGAAAATCACTATATATAAAGTTGAATTGTACACTAAACTTTTGGCAATATCGTGGGCAATGCAATCATATGTTCTCAATACCAATTTAATAATTTATGCACTAAGACGTGGAAATGGTTCAAGTATAAGTACTTTCTTGGATCCGTTATTTTTCTATTTGAATTGCCTCAGATCAACTTTACTTCTGAAATTTTTGTATATATATATTCTCTAAGTTGCTATTGATCTTTTTTTTTTGTGAATAAACTATATACATATTCAAGTATGATCTTGTAAAATCGTCTCATTAAAACGTAAAATCTAGTTACTTATCAAGAATTAAAGTTTTTTTTTTGTTGTTTAGAGAGTCACATGAGCGTGTGATTAGAATCGATCTCAGGATCATTTGAAATCAGGATGGGAGATTTAACCACCTGAAATATCCCTCACTCTCAAGTTAATCAAAGGTATATGCATTAATTAACAATTTAACAAGCATGAAAATGTAATACAAACAAACATAGAAAGAATATGTAATACTTGCAACAAACAAGACTACAAGTCTACAACACATCACCCACTATGGGAACTTAGCAATTAGTAGGGGTTGTATTGTTTTGTACAAGTGTTGTATATGTTAAAAGAGAAACCTCGTGACCATTAAATCATTAATTCTCCCTTTTTTACCTTAAGTGATTATTGACTTTATAGCCAAATAAAAAAAGTATCTACATTTATATTTTTTTAATCAATTGTATCTTCAGTCTGATACGTTTGACTTAGAAGCATTGAACAAAGTTTGGAATTTTCTGCTCAATGCAAAGAACAATATATTTTGTTCATGTTATCTTTTCCAGTTTCTTGTCATCCTCGGATCCTGGATTGACCAATTCAACTTGCATGTTCTCCTTACTATTTAAGTAGAAATTAGAGATGGGATAAAATTGATTATGTATAAGAGTAAATAAAAGTAGGTAATATGACATGCATTATGCATTAATAGCTATTTAATCAGTTGCGCGATCATTATACTATAATCTAATATTATTTATATTATATTTTATAAGTTATTTTATACTCTCTTTCGTTCATATTGTTGCTTATGCGTGTTTTTTGTTGGAGCATTAGGTATAGGTAAAATATTCCACATGCCTAGTAGCAGGTATCTTGGGGTGCTAGGCTCAAGACACCGGTTGATTGTGATTAGTGTTCAACATTAACAACTCAAAGCTACTCTATGGAATTGGGAGCAATGGAGCATGCCATAGCATGCAGCTCTACTATAGGGTATATTCTCTAGCCATCACGTGAGAACATGTATATTGACACGTGACGTCACACATATATAATATGCTTTCCAATATTGCTGTAAATGATACTCGAATTTTCTACCATATCTGTGTTACAATTTATAAACTTCTCCTTGTACAAGAATATACTATTTGTTTCGGTTGAAAACAATGGGACCTTGCCGAAGGTCCACTAAAATGGAGAAGACTGGATTCGATCCAAGCTGTGTTGGGCCGAAGGTTTCCTGCACAGTTAACACACGTAAACTAGCCTCGGGGGTGTTTCCGAGGAAGGCCCCTCCGATGCTAAAGTCAGTACAATGTGTAAAAAGGAAGACACTATGCAAGAGAGTTTGTAGCTTGAGGCTTTTGTGGAGTATTCCTCAATGCGAGAATGAGCATATGAGCTGCCATAATCGGTGTATTAGATAATGCAAGTGATGATGCATGTGTTGTTGTGTCTGATAGTGTATGTGATGTTATGAGATGTCTTATGTAAGAATATGACTCTCCCCCTGAATGTGTTAATATGAGGGCTTTTATACCTCATCATATTTGGAGAGGTTGGGCTTTAGCCCAATTGGCTTACTTTGTGGGCTGACTTTTGACTTTTGAGCAATTGGAGAGTTGAACCTTGACCTTGGGCTTTTAATTGGATCATTTAGTGCTCAGGCCCAATTTTGACTAAATTGGACCCAAACAACTTGCCCCCCAGACCCGATTCGGAAGAATGACGGGTCGGGTTTGATTTAACTCAGAAAAGGAGGGAAGTAAATGATTTAATTGATCCAAAAATTTGAATTTAAACCGTAATTAATGAGATAACAACGGTTAATGATTTGCGGAAGTTGGACGGATAATGGGCGGTTTAATCACAAGACATGTGTTTAATGGTTACTTAGTGGGTACTTAAGAGAAATTAAAGCACAGACTCTTCGTATCCCGTACCTGGAGATATAAACAGAGGCGCGTCATTCTCCTCACTGATTCACCAACACAAACCCAGAATTCTTCGAGAGAGAATCCAAGAATCCGTATCAAAACTTCGCAAATTCCCCCGAGCATTGAGCTTAGAAGCTGAGACTTGCCACTACGAACTCGTAAATCGGCAACTTTCGCTTCAGATTAGGTAAATTCCTTTGATTTCAGTTTATTTTTCTTCGAATTCAAACTCCTTCCCCTCTTCTTTCGACTTTTCTC